TCTTCTGTTATTATATGATGTTAACAATCGAATTATTCAAAAAATAACAGTTAGAAGAACTTTACATAATATACAGACAGAAATATAGATTTCGATTAGCAAGAAAAATTAAACTATCAATATCAAATTTTTTTTATTGTTCTATTAATCCATTGTGTTTGATGGTTCAATTGGTACAATTGGTTCGTTTATTGTTTTTGGCTCGGTTGATTCCATTGACACCATTGGTTCGTTGGTAATTCTTGTATCAGTTGATTCACTTGGTGTTTCATTAGTACAATTAACATTTTCTAAACTATGACATATTTCAAGTTCATCGTTCATTTCAGCCATTTTCTTTTCTTCTTCAGTTAAATCAGCAAATACAAGTTGATCAGTTGGTTGTTGTTCATCCCATATGATTGGAAATGTTGTTACTCGAGGTTCATCAACTGCAATATTTCTATTTAACTAGAAAAAGAAGAAAATCAATCATAAGAAATATTTCATTAATTCATTATAAAAATATTTTTACTTTTTCAAAATCAACTTTAACTGGTGGATTTTCTCGTAATTCTGGATCATCATATTCAGTAAATACATAATATCCTACACGAGCAAATTCTTGATTACGATATAAAGCCAAAAGAAGAATAACTGATACATCAACATCACTATCATTTGGTAATTTTTTTGGATCCGGTGGTGGAGCCTATGATTTGAAGGAAAAAAAATAAACAAAGATAAATGAGTCTTATTTACGGTTTTCTTGTTGATCATGAATACATAATAAAAAAGTGACCATCTTCTAGCTTATTTGTTGCTAAGTGCCGTTCCTTTTTTTTTCATTTCTCTTTCTCCATCGTATTGCTAGTATATCTTAGCAACAAGTAAGTTAGTATAGTCATTACTTTTGTATATGTTCGTAGTTAACAAGCAAATCATGAATAAGGCTCATGATATGAAAATATACTAAACATACTTCAAATACAAATTTATATGTTCCTGGCGCTACAGCATCAATAACGACAACATCAAGAACTTGATCTTGTTTATCTTCTTTTGCATCACCAACATAAACTAGTTTAAATTCAAGTTCTACGAATAAATATGTGTTTTGTTTTTTCTTATTATTGTAATAAAAAAAATTTACCTTGTGTTAATTGTTCTAAGCATTCAAATTTAATTTCAAATGTATAATTCGATAAGAATTTGGCTGGATTATTATGAACACTCACATTACTTATCATTACTTTCACCATATTTACGTTTTATTTAAAAAAAAATTTTTTTTCTTTTCTTCTACAATAGCAAGAATAAAATAAAAGTTTTTATATTTCTTTTTTTTGTAAAGAAAGAAAAGTTAAAGAAAAAAAAAATAATAATAATAAAATATTTAATTCAAAATACAGACAAAACAAAATAATAATAAAATATTTAATTTAATACAAAGACAACAAGAAAATCATATAATTATTAATCTACAATTTTTACTCTTTTAGCTGTATTCTTTAAATTTTCTTTTCCTTTCTCAGTTATTTTAGAACAACCACTTAAATCAATTGTTTCAATTGATGGACATGCTTGACCAATTAATGATAAATTTTTATCATTAATTTTTTCACATAAACTTATATCTAAATATTTTAAATTTGGTAATGAACGTAAACCAAATCGAAATAAACGATTTGTTAATTGTATACATTGACGTAATTTAAGAGTTTTTAAATTTTGTAATTTATTTATTGAATCAAAATATTCATTGAATAATTTATGTTCAGTTAACATAAATAATATTCGTTCCGAATATTCATCATTATCAAAACTAAAATCTTTTAAACGAAGTTTAATACATGATGATGATATATATGTTGGTAATTGACATCTACATAATGTTTGATGTGTTATTGTATATGTCCATATTGGTAAATCATCAATAAATTGTCGATTTATCATTGTTTGATTAAGCCATTCAATCGTTTTACCAATACCACATATTGATAAACCAATTAATGCAAAATCATTTATATTTATATTATAATTTATTGTTAATTCTTTTAATGATGAAAGATATTTGTTTATTAATAATATTGAACGATTTGATAATGATGGACAATTACTTAAATTTAAATGTGTTATTGATACAATAAATGATGATTGTGTACATATATGTTTAATAACAACATCAGTTGTATTTCTTGGTAAAGCTAATTTTTCTAAATGTGCTAAACTATTACTAAATAAATTGATAAGATCAATTTCATTCAATGGATATAATGTTTGAATATCAAGGTCGTTTAATTGCTTTAATGGTGATAATGATATATCTGATGATCGATTTAAAACTGAAATAAAAACATTTCAACATTAATTAGAATGTATAATTATAACATGTGTCTTCATAAATTAGACTAATAGCTAATTAAGATACTGATCAATTTAGTAGAGAGATTCAAGTAGATAAAAAGTGAAATAAAATCACTTGAAGGAAAACGCCAAGATTAGACGTTAAGAAAAACAAACAATACTATTTTGTTGTATCATTATTGATTTCAATAAAGAACTACACATATTTAAAAAGCATTTATACTCATAATGATACTTCGATCGTTTCATATCACGTCTACGATAGAATAAAGTATTTTTTTATTCAATAATTTCCGCCATTAACATATGTTTAAAAACTCCTTTTATTAGTTAATGTTAAAGGGTGTGCGGCGTTACACCCACATTCACGTCCTAGTTCACGAGGATATATTCCCAATCGTCTAATCACTTTCTGCTTGAGACTAGTATCGTTCAATCAATCACGATGAATAATGAAAAAGTCTGTTATGATTTGATTTTCTGGTCTTTACTTGTCGAATTATGAACATTTTATTGTGTTGTCACCCTACAAGCATAGGGTCACTGAGAATGTCGATGACCGAATTTTCAGCAGAAATTCTTCAGAACTTGAGCTAAGACAAATGCATTTTTATAGAGATATGAACTTGTCATGAAAATGTCCCTTTTTTTTTTGAAAAACAGCCCAAAGCAGTTGTTTCTTCAAAATGTAAATATCTTGGCAAGAAAGTGTTCGTTCTGGCTCAAACTTCACAGAACTCTTACTAAATATAAAGCTTACCTATAGAAAAATTTCACTTCGAAATTCAATCATCTCAACTCTCATTGATCCCATGCCATAGATTGAAAATCGAGTAGAACGCTTTTCATTCCACAAGCGAAGACTTGAAAACCGAAATCATCTCAGATTTTTTCACTACTAATCTCGATCTCATTAAAACATGTAAATTAACTAATATTGCGAGTTTTTGAATCTATCTAGTGTATATGAACGTATAGGCAAATAATGAAAAATTTGTTTTTTTTTTGCAAACGACTCCAGACTTAATTTATACACATCTTTTTTTGTTGAACCTAACAAAAAAATACCAGAGAAAATCGAATGATTTAATATCAAATGTCTATATTCAAATGTAATTAATAAATTGTAAAATCTTTAAAAATAATCAATTTTTAGTTATTTTTTTTTTTGTTTGATATTAAATACCTGGAAAACGTATTTGTTGTTGTTGAGTGGCAGAAAGATGTAATGGTATATTTAAAAATACGCATATTTTTTTTAAATTAGATGCATATTGACTAAGAGCAGCAAATAATGGTTGACAACCAGTATGATCAAGTTTAAGACGTCCAACAATCAATGTTTCTAAATGATTATCAAAAAGAAGAAGAAGATGAAGTAATGTTGATACATTTAAAGTTCCATCAATATGAAAATAAGTTAATTTTGTTGGTATCTTATCAAATAAACGTTTTATTTGTGTATCACATGATAGTGATGGATCAAATGATATAGTTAATGCTTGAAAACGTTCATGATATTGTTGAATATATGAACAAACATTTTCAAATGTAAGAATTGTACGATTTTCATTAGGTATAATAAATGAACGTAATGGAATATCAAGTAAATGCAATGATTCAATATTTGGAAATGATGTCATTAGACAATTAAATGCATAATCTGATAAATGTGTATTACCATTTAAATTAAGTCGTTTTATTGAAGGATATACATTTGAATTTCGTGAAAAATTATGTGATAGAAAAAAGAATTTATAATCACTTAAATCAAGTTTTTCTAATGATTTACAATATGTAAGTAAATCATAAAAAATACGTAAATCAATTAATGTTGTAGAACGTGCAAATGATAAACTTTTTAATTGACTAAGACATGAACGAAATGGTTCCGATGTTTGAAGAAGTATATTTAATTCAGTATAATTATAATTTGATAATGATAAATGATCAATACCTTCGATTATTGTTGCTTTATCAAGAAGTGTTATACCAGATGATGATTTTGGTGAAAGAATTATTGAATGTATATGAGAATAGGATGAAAATGATGAAAGACGTGTATAGATTGTTCTACTTGTTAAACGTAAACATTTCCAATCGGTTAATGTTAAATGAGCCAAGATGAGATCAAAGATCTTTTAAATGCAAATGAAAACTTTTGGAAAATATAATTCTCATTTCAACTTACTTCAACTGGTAAAGTTTCCATCTTGTTTCTCAAGTGCTTCTACGAAGAAAAAAATATATAGAAAAGAAAAGATAGTGACAAATCAAAAAAGAAGTTTTTATGATAACAGACAGCCTTCTTTGATATTCATCGTTTATTTATATATATATATAGAACAGAACACCTGTTGTTTTTCTTTTGCATCTGCTCATTTACTCTTTTTTTTTAATGATGTTGCAAACAAAAAAAAAGAACACATATGACAAATAAATGTAACAGAAAAAGAAAAAGGTCTTCTTTATCGATGAACCTAATCATAGATATGTTAGAAAGTTTACAAGAGACAAAATGATATAACACACAAGCACATTAATAGAATATATATTTTCGTTTTTTTTCTCTAACAAAAAAAAAAAAGAAAAAAAAAATAAATGTTTAATAACATCATAAAGATTATATACAAATGCAATAATAAAGTTAAACATTATTTACTTCCAGTTGGCTTAACTGTCGTAGCAACATTTTGAAATAAAGAAAATCTATTTTAAAAAAAAAATCAAATCGGTTTTATTTATTTATATTTAATTAAATAAACTTACGCTTCAAAATCAAGTTTTTGTTTTGATATACCACTTAAAGCAAATTCTTCACTAACAATAGGTACACCTTTTTTACATAAATCTTCATATTCATTTTTATGTACTTGTGCAACAATACAAACTAAATCTTTTCCTGGTTTATTTAAATTAATTTTTTCAATAAATTTTCCACCAGCTGCTTCAATTATATCTTTTAAATCATCATATGGTGGTGATGTATCTTTCGTACAAAAAATTTTATAATTTTCAAATATAGGATGTTGTTTAGCTAAACGAACACTTTCACGTAATTGAAAACCATAACGTGTTTCAGCATTTGTATCCTGTAAATAATATTTTTCATAAGGTAAATAACGATTTTCTTTTATCATTGTTTCAATCCATGTTGGTGACAATATATGTGCACCTCGGGCAAGACACATAAAAAATTTTTTTGTACGTCGTATACGATCAACAACTAATGCATCAACTTGACATGATTCATCCATAATTTCAAAACCTAATTTACGTAATGTTTCTAAATGACTTTGATCAAAATTCTAAAAAAAAAAAAAAACATAACACAAAAATTAAACCGAAACAAAAAGAATTAATGAATTCTTACTAAATGACTACTAAGAGCTATTCGAACAGGTCGATCATCAGTTGAAGTTTGTTCTTGTGATGATTGTTCAGTTGGTGTAGTTAGTTTTGTTGATCTTCGACCACGTCTTGGTGTAACTGGATCAGGTGAAGATGATTCATCTGTAGTAGAAGGTTGTTTACGACGTGTATTTGTTGCGGGTGCTGTTTGTGGTGTTGTTGTTGAACGACTAGAGAAAAGAAATTTATGTTTCGAAATATAAAAACATTGTTGGGAGCTCAAAAATCGGTCTTGATGCAAATGCATTCAAATCATTCGCAATCCTGAACGCTATGTCATGATGTTTTCGGAAACACTTCTTTCATATTCTACCATTTAAATGGGTTTTTCTCTATTTTCTAATGAAAGTATACACATTCGCATGTTTATATCGTATCATTGTTACGATGCCCCAATGCACTGTAAACCTTAAGCCGCAGAGAAGCCTTCAATATCTGGGACGGTCTCCGGATGGAGCTCTTCTTCATCAATAGCTGCAACCGTGAAATGTTCAAAAAAACTTTAATTAGACCAGGCGCTCACTGAAGAAAATGTTGAGACTAATAGTTAAAATTATCTGAAGAGATGGTTCAACTTTCGATGATTCCCATTAACTTTCACATAAAGGTTTCCCATAGAATAGTCCATAGATCAGGTAAACTAAAATTGTTTAAGATAGAAATTTTATTTGGAATGGGGGCACCACTCAGCTGTAAGATATTATGATCTGATGCAAAAAAATTTATGGCAACCTTCCAACTCCTTCGTATCAAAGCTCATCAAGTCGTCATTAGTCACATCTGATCGAAACTCAATATACTATATTTGTGATCAAACTATGAGACTAAAGGATTGAAGTTTAGATAGTTTTAACCTGGTAACAAAACTTTTTGTGAGTAATGTTTATTTTAGTAAAACAGACTGATATTTGCAGCATCTATTCCATTTTATATTTTGAGCTTTCTATCTCTTATAGTCACACAGATACGAGTAATATGAAATTTATAGAAGTTTTTTAAAATATTTATGAGAATTTCTCCGCTGTTGTATTAAGAATGTTAAATAGAAACGCCGCAAGTCAATTTTTATACGTTTACTTTACATTGACTCAGTAACTTTTGCATCACCTTCCATTATTGAACTATTTCAATTTTACAATTCTGTTTCATCTTTAAATCGTCCTCTTCATCAAGTTTTCTTAATTGTATCTCTAAGCCGCCTCAATTAATCAAATATCAGCAAATTTTGTTTGACTATCTCTAGGACCAATACACTCAGCAGTATCCATCAAGATCGTTATTCGCTGTTTGCTACACTGATCATCTTGAAACATTGATATCAAGTTGGTTTTTTCTTAAACCACAGAACGCAGAAAACTAAAAGTTACTCATTACGACAGATTGATCAAATAATTAGAGTTCTTTTTTTAGTACTGTTTGTCAAAATTATTTAAAATAATGGGCTCTACAGTTTTACATGCTCTTTTAAACATAAGATCAATTTTCGAGTCCAAAACTTTCGGATTCAAGACCAATCTGAAGGTTTCAGAAGTAGAACGCTTAACTATACATACGTTCGTTTTGTAGTAGTTGATGCAACAGGTGTTGTACTTTTACGTTTTCGTCCAACGGTTTTTGTTGATAAAGTTGGTTCTTCATTTTCACCACCAGTATCCATTTGTTCGTAAATATCAGTATTATCTTTTTGTTTTTTAGTTTTTTCCTCTGGACTCTCTGATGTATCGATTGGTTGTTGTCGAAGACTAATACGTTTTTGTGATGTTGATGAACCACGTCCACCACGAGTTGATCTACGACCTATTGTTGTCGTTGATGGTGGTGTAATAGGAGTTTTCGTTTGTTTTTCAAGATCATCTAAATCAACATAATCATCAGTGTATGGAAAGGAACGATTTCGACCACTTGATGCACGAGCTTTAATTCGAGCTATTTAAGAAACAAGAATAAAAAAAAATTTATATGAAGATTTTTTTTTTTTCTTTTGCTTACCCGAAACTCGAATATTTGCATTCATATTTGTTTGAGTAGGTGATGATGTTTCATCGGCTGGTGTTGGACTTATTGGTTGTGTGTCGCTTGATTTTTGTTCAATATCAGTTGTTGAAGATTTTTGTGGTGATTCTTCTGCTTCAGTATTTACTGTTTCTTCTAATGTTGTATTGTTATTTTGATTATCAATTGTTGGTGGTAAAACTGGATTACGACGTCCACCATGTATACGTGTACTAACAACACGAGCTCGTGTTGCACCGCCGCGACGACCTCGAGCACGGCGAGCAGCTCTTCGAGGAATACCACGTTGATTACGACCTGTAACAGGGACTGATTCTTCAGTCTCTTCTCCTACTTCTTCTCCTTCATGTTCTTCATCTCCTTCAATTTCTTCTTGTTGTTTGTCAGTTGTATCGAGAGTTGATGATGGTATATCTTCAGATGCAGAAGTAGCTGTTAGAAAAAAAAGAATATAATCATAGAGTTTAACCTTTTTTTTTTTTTAGTTCCGCTAAAGAAGAAACTTACGAATCGATTCATTCATTTTTTGTTCTGATTCAATCGTAGTTGTTGTTAAAGATGTATCCAATTTTGTTTCTTGATCCTATTAATACGGGAATGAAAAATATATATATATATAATTAATCGATATTTAATCATTGTTTTACTATAGTTGTTGGTTGAACTTTTGTATCAGTTTGATTCGTTTCATTAATTGATATTGCATCTGTCTTGGTTGTTGCTATAATTTCATCTTCTTTTTTATTAACACTTGCTTGTTGTTCATCGATTGCTGGTGTTGGTGTTATTATTGGTTCATCATTAACCGTTGCTGATGGAAGTTCTAATCAAACAAATATAGTAAAATTTTCCAATATGAACATCGGTATCTACTGGGCAGCCGTAGCCTCTTCCATTGAAATTTATATATGCTATATACTAAATATTTATTTATTTCTATGAGATTTACGGTCACAAATAATGTACACACTTCTCACTATTTGGGTTGTGCAACTGGACTAGGAATGCGACAAATCCACTTCAATAGCTTGCTATTTGGTGATGGGTATCGAAACCAAAACTATTTATATTATTTTTGTTCACAACTAAATCCAAATACTAAAGATTTGTTGTTTAGTCCCAAAAAGTTTTTTTTTCTAATTGTGCCGAACGTCTATTAAAGTAGATCATTGTTGATATCACCTTATCTTATCAAACTGTTTAAAATTTGCGTCACTTGAAACCAAATCTCAATGCTTTGGTTATGACAGCGGAAGATGTGTCTATTGCACTCACACCTTCATGGAATATATTAATAAATTTTGTGAAAAAAAAATTTTTTTGCTACTTTTATTATCTATTTTTCTTTGTTCATTCAAAAAAAGAAATTCCAGTTTCATCTAGTCAAACTTGAAATCTTAATTTTCTCTACAACATATATATACCGCACATAGTATTATTACTTAAACTAACAATTCTTTCTCGATTGTTGCATATGACTTTTATTCCTGTGACAAAGCTCATGTATATTTAGAAGCTTTAATATCAAAATAATCAACAGTCATATTAACAGTTTATTTTGCTTGTTAAGTAAAAGATCTACGTAATTCATGTTCCAAAGAGCAATACACTCTTTCAGAATATCAAAGTTCCTTTTCAGATTTATACAACATTGCCATTGACAACAGTCATTTGTTTCCATAATTCGTTGCATAACGTTGAACAGTTGATAATAAAAATTCATCAATAACTTATTCGCATCTGTTATGAATTTCAAAATTTCTTGAATTTACTCTTGCTTGACAGTCAATAGTCTGTGCAGGTGAATTTCGTTATGGATGATTACATCTCTTTATTATGAACAATAGGCCCTTGTTTATAATCACGTGAATGAGTCACTATCTCTCTAATTTGGGTAACATATTCTATCAATCAAGTAAAGGACGAACAAAAGACACCTATGTGATATGTATTATGTTACAATAAACGATCATGGAGTACATAATAAACAGAATGCACTCATTGTGCATATTTAATAATAAAAAAATAATATGAGAGCCTAATGTTTGATGTAATATTTTGTTATGTTTTTATTTTTTGTAAACGCTTAATGAAATTAATACGTGCTGATCTATTTATATTGTTGAGACACAGAAAAAGAAACTGGAAAATTTCTCAAGAATGAACATCTCCGTATAGTATGAAAATAGTTTTGATTGATCTCGATAGTACTCGTATTAGAGAGATATGATTATTTTGTTGTCTTTGTAAATAATTTTTACCTGTTTGATTAGTATCCATTTGTTCATCTTCAGCAACTTCTTTACCAACATTTTGATCAATAGTAACTTCAATTTGTTGTTTAGGTGTTGCATCATCAACAGTATTATCAACATGTTGAAGTTGTTCAACTAATTGTGACATTGGTACAATTTCACATGTTTCTGATGCTGGTCTTGGTGATGTATCATCAATTTGTTCATCAAGATTATATTTTTGTGTATCAGCACATACAGCAGGTGCAGTTGCATCTAAATTAATTTGTTCATTTGATGGTTGAACATTTTCTACTTGTGGATTATTATCTTCAATAGTTGTTGTTGTTTTAGAAATTTCTTCACTTATTGGTTGAATAGTTTCTAATGGTGTATTATTATCTTCAATAGTAGATGTTTTGGAAATTTCTTCATTTGTTAGTTGAAGATCATAGATTTGTGTTTCTGCCGAAGGATTTTCATTTTCAGTAAGAATTGTAGTAGTTTCTTCATTTGTTGGTTGAAGATCGTAAGCTTGAGTTTCTACTGGAAGATTTTCATTGCCAGTAAGAACTGTTGTAGTTTCTTCATTTGTTGGTTGAAGATCATAAGCTAATGTTTCCATTGGTAGGTTATTATTTTCAAAAGTAGATGTTTCCTTAGTTTCATCATTTGTTGGTTGTAAATCATAAACTTGTGTTTCCATTGGAAGATTTTCATTTTCAGGAAGATTGACAGTAGTTTGTTCATTTGTTGATTGAATAATTTCCACTGGTCGATAATTATCTTCAACAGTTGTTGTTGTTGTTTTAGAAATTTCTTCATTTATTGGTTGAATAGTTTCTAATAGTGTATTATTATCTTCAATAGTAGATGTTTTAAAGATTTCTTCATTTGTTGGTTGAAGATCATACATTTGTGTTTCTGCTGAAGGATTTTCATTTTCAGTAAGAATTGTAGTAGTTTCTTCATTAGTTGATTGAAGATCATAAACTTGTGTTTCCATTGGTAGATCATCATTTTCAGATATAGTTGTTGTTGTTGTCGTTGTTGTTGTTGTTGTAGTAATAATTTCTTCAATCATTTTATCACCATCCATAACAACTTGATGAACTTCTTCACGTTTTGTTTCAATAACATCAGATACAATTTCTTCATGTTCATGTTCATATGATTGAGTTTTATTAACTATTTGTTCATTTGAAGAAATTTCTTCTTCTGTTGATGGTTGAAGTGTATATGCTTGAGTTTTATCAATTTCAATTTGTGTTGTTGTTTCAATAGTTATTTGATTATTATCATCATCTTTAATAATTTGTTCAGTTCGTGATGAAGAAATAATTTCAATTTGATCATCATTATTGATTTGTGTTGTTTCAATAACTAATGGTACAGTTGCTGGTAATGGTGTTGCACCAATAACTAAACTATCATCATCATCATTATTTAATATTGATGATAATGTTGATGGAATAAATGATGAAGATTTATTTGATGATGATTCATTTAAACCATTTTGTTTTAATATTTCATCATCAGAACCTAATAAAAAGAAATTTTTATATTAACAAAAAGAAATAAATTATTTGAATTTATACTTTTTATACTTGTTCGTGTAAGACCTAAAAAAGAAAAATGAAGTAAATTTTCTTTTTTTTTTCTTAATTTTCATATTTACCATTTGTATTATTAGAATTTCTATTCCAAATTTTCATTGGTTGTGTTGGTTCTTGATCATCATATGAATCAGTTATTGTTTGTGTTGATGCTTAAAATAAAAGAAATCAATTTTTAAATATTAAATTCAAATCTTCTTACGAATCACATCAACATTTGTTTCTGTAATAACCTAAATGAAAAAAAAACAATATAAACACATTTGTACAAAATATTTATCAATTTATAATCATAAACAAAGTGTAAAATCGACAAATAATAAGCAGACACACATGGACATACCAGCGGAGGTATCTCATCATCCGAAGGCCATGGTGAATCCTCTTCAACTAAGGTATTAACTGGTGGTATATAAGTTTCATATATTGGTTCAGAAAGTGTCTTGAATAAGTTTAATGAATTTTTGAACTAAACATGAGAAAAAAAAAACAAAAACATAGTACTTACATTTTTATTCGTTTGTGTTTGTTGTTCTTCAAATAAACAAATAATATCACCTAATTTTATTTCATCACCATCATGTAATGCATAACAAACATTTGGTTGAAGTTGAACCTAGAAAAAGCAAATAAATGAAAATTTTGATCTAAAACAAATGTTCTCTTTTGTGCTTTACTTTATTATGGAAAGTTTTATTGCTACTACCAAGATCGGTAATGAAATATTGCCCATTATTAAAAGTTATTTTTGCATGTTGTTTTGAAAGTGACTAAAATAAAGTAAAATAAAATTTTAGCATTAAGAAAAAAAAAAAAACACATATCTTACCGGAGCAGAAATAATTAAGTCCGATGGATTTGTTCGACCAATAATTGTTTCTTCTATTAAAAGAAAAATGATGCATCAATGTAGTGATAATGAATAAGACAGAAAAAAAAAACTACATACTTCCGATTTGATATGTATTGGAATCAGTACCACTTATAATTTTTAATGAAGCTTCCTTTATTAGACAAAAAAAAAAAAAAAAAAGATTTTTGACGAATTTTTTCGAACTAATTATCAAACATACTGATTCAATGGTTGATGAATTTTGTATAAGACTATCATCAGCTGTTATTATTTGTGTATTATCAAGATCTGTCATATCGTTTTCGTTTTAAGAATTACTTAGAAAATATTCTTGATAGAATAAATGAATACAATATCCGTACTTTTCTCATCTTTGTTTAATGTAATTAGTGACATCTATTCTTTGTCTATTGTCAAATTTATGTTAAGTAATTGAATTGATTTATCAAGAAAAATAAAAAACAATAAAAAATTAGAATAGATTTCTACAAAATTAAATTTTTTATATCAATTAAGATAATTATAACATACAACTGATAATTAGTGTCATCTATAGATATGATTCCATTATATGTTTTGAAAATAGTCTGCCTCGTATATGTTTTCTTTTTTGTTGCGTTCAGGAAAAGAAAACGGCCTTGAACCCTTATTTAAGTAAAGAACATAAGTTGTGACGTCATGTGTTTTGTTTTTTTTCTCTCTTTCAGCAGACGATTATTCGTTTCGCAATAAATTGACGGCACAGAAACATTAAATATATAACGTTGTTGTTGAGCGAATATTGCATATATGATTACATCACGTGCATTTCGATTTTTCGCTCCGTCTTTTTTTCTAATTGCGTAAATAGAAATTGTTTTTTAACAATAAAATATTCAAATATTGACTCTCTGATAAATAACTATACGTCTTTCTAGACAAGAAAAATATTGTTTTACTAATATCTTCTGTATTTTCTCTGTATGGAAGTAATCACCTGACGTTTGCACTTCGGGGGTTAATCTCTCTTTTTCTCTTATTTTCTATATTTTCTCGTATATACGCTGAAAAGAGAAAAGAGAAGCGTATATAAAGGCTGACTCGTAATGATGAAATTTATTATCAAAGCATCATACATACTTTGATTCTTCTTCTAGACAAGAAGAGCTAATTAAAAATAAAGTATAGACGTGGCGGTTCTTATTCATACTTCTAATACTTCGTTGACTTCCAAATATGTCAACAGCCGATCAAAATCCGGTAATTATTTGAAATATTAGTTTTTATTTTTCAATAATTATTAATATTTTTTGTCAAATAGATATCTCAATATTATCAAACAATAATTATTGGTTCTGGTGCAGCTGGTCTATCAGCTGCATATCAATTACACAAATCCGGTCTTAAATCTGTTTTAATTCTTGAAGGTTCAAAACGTATCGGTGGTCGCATCCTCACCGAATACTTAGATGCAGATTCATCAAAACCACTTGAAATGGGTGCATGTTGGATGCATGGTTTACAAGACAATCCAGTGTATGAATTAGCTTTACGTGAAAAATTTCCACAACATACAGGTACAATACTTAATTTTGATATTGGTACATGTGTTGATGAAAATGGTTTACAAATATCAAGTGAATTACATAATGAAGTTGATCAATTTTTTGAAAGTTTATTACAAGACACAAGAGATTTATTTGAATTTCAACAAAAAAATTATACACAAATATCATCAATAAGTATACAAAAAGTTTTTATGGAAAAATTTCAAAATTTTTTAAATTCAAATGGTGGAAATAATGAAACACGATCATTAAAACTTAAATTACTTCAACGAAGGTAAACGTTTAAAAAAAAATATATAATGATATGAATTGATGTTTTAATTGATTTTTTTTTTGTTGTATAGATTTGATCAAGAAACAGGTGAATGTGGTTGTCAATCAATGGAACAAGTATCTTATTCAGAATTTGGTTCATATCAACGACCAAAAGGTCCCGATATGGAATTTCCATGTGGTTATTCAACATTAATTCGTTATTTATGTTCACAAATACCACAAAATTGGATTGTATTTGAACAATTTGTTGAAAATATTTTATGGGATACAGATGATCATGTTAAAATTACATGTGCAAATGGAAATATTTATGAATGTGATCATGTTATTTGTACGATTCCATTAGCTGTTATGAAATGGAGTTATAAATCATTATTTAGTCCAGCATTACCAGGTAAATATTAATTCAAAATTATTTTCTAAAATAAAAACAAAAAGAAGTAAATTTGAAATTTCTTTTTCTCTTGTTAAGCATGGAAAGTTGAAGCTATACAAAAAATGGATATGGGTACAGTTGATAAAATCTATTTATTTTATGATCAATTAAATTTTTTCAATGGTGATTCATTAGCTATTGTTTATGATCGAAATCATGATACATTAGATATCAAAAAAGAATGGTATAAGAAAATTTTCTTATTTCAAAAAGTTTATGATAATGTTTTATTATGTTGGATAACGGGTGATGAAGCTATTTTTTGTGAACAATTAGATGAAAAACATATTGGTGATGTATTAACAAATCTTTTTCGAAAATCATTAAAAAATATTAATATACCAACACCAACAAAAGTTGTTCGGTAAGAAAAATGCTCCTCTCTCAAGTTTAATTAGTTTTATTTCATTTTCTTTCTCATAATTAAAAAACACAAAGAAGATTTCTTGCCTTTCAGTTACCTCAGCATAGATTCAACTGTGCGACATCTTTCCTACAACTAATACCAACTATAGTTGCGAACAGAATATCAGTCTGACTCAGAATTCTTATACTTCTCATACATACTAGCTAACTGCATACCAGCCACAAGAGCAGGTGTATGCTACAATGTAGTCTTTTTGATTGCGGTCCCACATATTTTTACTCACAACAAATAGCCAATAGCGACTTGTCTAGAGTCATGATAGTTTCTCATAATTAATGAATTGATATTTACAAGTAGAATCATTTATTTGTATAATGATAGTAATAGACCTCGTACTAAAACACAATTCAGGTTTACTAATATAATAATCAAAACTTTAAATCAGTTCTTTCGTAATCTATACGAAAAATTCGAATTCAATTTCATAGTAATTTATTTTTGTTTCATATAGAACTCAATGGTTTTCAAATCCATGTGCGAAAGGTTCGTATTCATATGTACCTGTTGGTGCATCATCTTGTCAACATATTCGTGATTTGGCTGAACCATTAAAAGCTCATAAAAAAGTAAGATTTATTCCTAAGGATACCTTAAATTTGAAACAAAACGTAGTATTGATATATATTTTTTTGTACTTCAAGTCCTTTTAGTAGTCTGTCAGAAGGACAGAACCCGATTGATGGACAACACACGTTGACAAAGCATAGGTAGACGATTTCTTGGGATAATATATCCATACTAACCTAAGAGTTGTTGAACACGCTTGTTCATCGGTTTTGTTGTTGTTTATTTGTCTAGGCTCTGTTCGAATGATGACGATGTAGCAGATAAATAGGTTTGATTAAAATTTTTTCTATATATATATCTATATCTATTTTATTTCTGTCCTTTGATATTTTCTCTTTTGTTAAACAAACATATAATTTTTAGTCGCGAGTATTATTTGCGGGTGAACATACCCATACTCGCTATTATTCAACTGTAACTGGTGCATTTATAACTGGTCAAGCACAAGCATTACAAGTAGCACAACAATTAATTGCAAATAATGATACTGAAACGTTGGTTAAAGCTATAACAGATGATTTCAATAAAATTCAATGGAAACGTGAAGAACCACCCTGACAAACTCCCGTTTTAAGTCGTCGTCTGAAAATGGAGACGACGATATTCGACGGTGCTGGTCAAGCACCAACGGTACCAACGACGAAACAAGATGTTGTCTCAAAGCCAAACTGTGGTTTGACAACAAGAATCTTTTCGTCAATTACTGAATTGGTTAACCAGGCCGTTAATTATTTGAAAGACATTGACACATAACTTTTTTTTTTGTTTTTCATTTACTCATTTATTCTTACGTTTTAGGGGAATGGAAATAGTTTTCTCTTGTTTTTTTTTCAGTGTCGTACTAATATTATCTTTATTTAATCAAGCACATATTTTTCTTTTTGTTCTTCAATATTTACTCAATAAAAAATAATCATTTAATCCAGCAATTAGATCATTTCTTTTTTTCTTATCAGTATTTCTAGAAAATAGTATTACAAATTAAATAGAAAATAATTTATTACTAAATTAAAAAAATAACACAAAAACAAAAAAAAATTAAACAAAGTTCGGAGGGAGCATTGAAAAAGAATAATTTAAAGAAAATTCTGTGTTGTAAATTTCAATTGATTGAACCATTTCATGTGCTGCATTGATTTGAATTGAACCAAAAATATCTTCAGGATTTTTATTGTTAAAATAAATTTGATTGATAAATGCTAATTGAAGTTGACTTTCTAAAACGAAGAATAAAAAAAATTCTGCAATCGAAGAAAAATTAAAACCTACTTCTAGCCCAACGTGGAATTTTTTTCGATCGTCGACGAGATACGGCTGAATATGTAGTATCATCAAGTTGATCATCATGAAGTATAGTCATATCATAATTATTTGTTGAATCAGTTTTAATACTATATTCGGAATTTGGATTAACTTCTCGGACAAAATTAGATCTATAAAACAAATTAATTAAAAAAAATCTAGAGTTAAGATCAATAAACTTACCCTTTGATACGTTGAAATCGAGCATTTGATTGTAAATGATTTTTAACTGAACTATGCATAGGTGATTGAGATTGAATACGAGATGAAGATTTTTTAAAAAGTTGACGACGAAAAAGTGTCTTAGTTAAAGTATTTGAACGTTTTCGATTAATTACGATAGATGTATCAGAAGGTTGAATACACTATATATATATCATCATGTACATATAGAAAAAATTTCATATAGAATTACCTTTACTGGATTACAAAAAGCCATTGCAGATACGAGAAATGAGCTGTCGACAAGAATGTTGACCGAGAAATGTTATCAAATACATTGAACATGTTTCCCTATATAGAGTAAATCTCATTTACTTAAAATGGCTCAAATTCAGTCTAATCAAAGAATTGTTCCAAAAGTAGGATTGATCAATTAGATGACAAGCTAATCTAACGTAATCGCTTTCTTCTTAATTATATGTGTTGTCCTTCGATTAATTGGACGAAAGAAATATGTTCTTTTATTGAAAATGAAAGAAAAGAGAAACTAAAGAAAAAAAAAATATCGAATTGAAAAC